AGACTTTTCGATATAAAATAATTGGTTCTTTCTTCAAGTTTCCATCACTGAAAAATTCCTATGAAGTTTTGGTTTAATATTAAACATAATTTTAGTAATACTTTAAGAGCCGTATTCTTGCTGTCATGTAATTTTTCTTGATTACATTAAAAACCCGAAAATAATAGGACGTAATTTGTTTATATATCCCAAATGGTGAGAATAAAAAAAAAAAAAAATCTTTAGTATTAGAAATTCAAGGTCAATGGCGGATGCATCGCGATTAAGTTCTTGTACTCTCAGTTATTAGACGAGGTGACTAACTCACTCAGCTAAAATTTAAAAAAAAAGAAAATGTCGACAAATTGCATAACCTCACTTTTTAAATAAGATTCAAAGCAACAAACACCTACGGTCGTTAATTAAATTGCATTAAATAATATCAATAAACGAATATCACATGTAAATCCTATTTACTTAAGCTGACAGTAGTCTAATAAAATACAGCCGACCTGGTCAAGACCACACCCGACATACACACACAAACATTAATATACATATATATATTTATATATATATATATATATATATATATATATATATATATATTTATATTATAATATATATAATGAGACACACAGCTTAAATCAAAATCAGTTTAAAAATAATAGTGCAGTTTGGATTCAGATTGAAAAAAGTTCAAAGTTCAGTACCAAATACGATCATTCAACAACAGCAGCGCCAATCATCTCTCAAAATAAACCGGTTAAGCACCCACAATACACCGTAACCACTCATACACACGAGCTACCACTAAGAGTCCACCAAATACTGACTTTTGCGCACAAAACAACGTACTTATTTTAATTGTGCATATTTTTTATGGCTAGTTTCTTAAAATTATGAGTACGTACTAGAGCAAAATTAAATACCACAGTTGAAAATACGTACTGTCACAGCAACATGAATGCCAATTTACTTGGTGTATTATTTATTACTTCACACTTATGTTGTTGCTTTAAGCAAATAACAACACAAGACTAGCCGGGGATCGAACCTCCCCTCCCCCCGACATTTTATTACGCCTTCCAAGCCCGCCAAAATTCCGAGACGCCTTTGACAATTGGGCCATCAATGCTACAAACATCGGGTGCCTATTACCACTGGACATGTCCCTCCTGATGTAAGTATATACGTACTTGGCTGTGGAAAGCTACAGGACTAATTGCATTCTCTTCCCGTTTGGAATACCACTGTTCACGAGCAGTACACATATTAATGCATTAACGAACGAGTGGTTTTAAGCAAATAACGATACTGCGAATAGCTAGGGATCGAACCTCCCGATATTTTAGCATGCCTCTCTCTCTCTCTCAAATGTAAATGAGAGTGTAAATGATAATGGGAGCCCTTTGATTGAACTTTGTATAGAAAGGGGTTTAGTTATAGGTAATACATATTTTAAGAAAAAGAGGATAAATAAGTATACACGATATGATGTAGGGCGAAATGACAGTAGTTTGTTGGATTATGTATTGGTAGATAAAAGACTGTTGAGTAGACTTCAGGATGTACATGTTTATAGAGGGGCCACAGATATATCAGATCACTTTCTAGTTGTAGCTACACTGAGAGTAAAAGGTAGATGGGATACAAGGAGAATAGAAGCATCAGGGAAGAGAGAGGTGAAGGTTTATAAACTAAAAGAGGAGGCAGTTAGGGTAAGATATAAACAGCTATTGGAGGATAGATGGGCTAATGAGAGCATAGGCAATGGGGTCGAAGAGGTATGGGGTAGGTTTAAAAATGTAGTGTTAGAGTGTTCAGCAGAAGTTTGTGGTTACAGGAAAGTGGTGCAGGAGGGAAGAGGAGCGATTGGTGGAATGATGATGTAAAGAGAGTAGTAAGGGAGAAAAAGTTAGCATATGAGAAGTTTTTACAAAGTAGAAGTGATGCAAGGAGGGAAGAGTATATGAGAGAAAAAGAGAGAAGTTAAGAGAGTGGTGAAGCAATGTAAAAAGAGCAAATGAGAGAGTGGGTGAGATGTTATCAACAAATTTTGTTGAAAATAAGAAAAAGTTTTGGAGTGAGATTAACAAGTTAAGAAAGCCTAGAGAACAAATGGATTTGTCAGTTAAAAATAGGAGAGGAGAGTTATTAAATGGAGAGTTAGAGGTATTGGGAAGATGGAAGGAATATTTTGAGGAATTGTTAAATGTTGATGAAGATAGGGAAGCTGTGATTTCGTGTATAGGGCAAGGAGGAATAACATCTTGTAGGAGTGAGGAAGAGCCAGTTGTGAGTGTGGGGGAAGTTCGTGAGGCAGTAGGTAAAATGAAAGGGGGTAAGGCAGCCGGGATTGATGGGATAAAGATAGAAATGTTAAAAGCAGGTGGGGATATAGTTTTGGAGTGGTTGGTGCAATTATTTAATAAATGTATGGAAGAGGGTAAGGTACCTAGGGATTGGCAGAGAGCATGCATAGTTCCTTTGTATAAAGGCAAAGGGGATAAAAGAGAGTGCAAAAATTATAGGGGATAAGTCTGTTGAGTGTAACCTGGTAAAGTGTATGGTAGAGTTATAATTGAAAGAATTAAGAGTAAGACGGAGAATAGGATAGCAGATGAACAAGGAGGCTTTAGGAAAGGTAGGGGGTGTGTGGACCAGGTGTTTACAGTGAAACATATAAGTGAACAGTATTTAGATAAGGCTAAAGAGGTCTTTGTGGCATTTATGGATTTGGAAAAGGCGTATGACAGGGTGGATAGGGGGGCAATGTGGCAGATGTTGCAAGTGTATGGTGTAGGAGGTAGGTTACTGAAAGCAGTGAAGAGTTTTTACGAGGATAGTGAGCTCAAGTTAGAGTATGTAGGAAAGAGGGAAATTTTTTCCCAGTAAAAGTAGGCCTTAGACAAGGATGTGTGATGTCACCGTGGTTGTTTAATATATTTATAGATGGGGTTGTAAGAGAAGTAAATGCGAGGGTCTTGGCAAGAGGCGTGGAGTTAAAAGATAAAGAATCACACACAAAGTGGGAGTTGTCACAGCTGCTCTTTGCTGATGACACTGTGCTCTTGGGAGATTCTGAAGAGAAGTTTGCAGAGATTGGTGGATGAATTTGGTAGGGTGTGCAAAAGAGAAAATTAAAGGTGAATACAGGAAAGAGTAAGGTTATGAGGATAACAAAAAGATTAGGTGATGAAAGATTGAATATCAGATTGGAGGGAGAGAGTATGGAGGAGGTGAACGTATTCAATATTTGGGAGTGGACGTGTCAGCGGATGGGTCTATGAAAGATGAGGTGAATCATAGAATTGATGAGGGAAAAAGAGTGAGTGGTGCACTTAGGAGTCTGTGGAGACAAAGAACTGTGTCCTTGGAGGCAAAGAGGGGAATGTATGAGAGTATAGTTTTACCAACGCTCTTATATGGGTGTGAAGCGTGGGTGATGAATGTTGCAGCGAGGAGAAGGCTGGAGGCAGTGGAGATGTCATGTCTGAGGGCAATGTGTGGTGTGAATATAATGCAGAGAATTCGTAGTTTGGAAGTTAGGAGGAGGTGCGGGATTACCAAAACTGTTGTCCAGAGGGCTGAGGAAGGGTTGTTGAGGTGGTTCGGACATGTAGAGAGAATGGAGCGAAACAGAATGACTTCAAGAGTGTATCAGTCTGTAGTGGAAGGAAGGCGGGGTAGGGGTCGGCCTAGGAAGGGTTGGAGGGAGGGGGTTAAAGGAGGTTTTGTGTGCGAGGGGCTTGGACTTCCAGCAGGCATGCGTGAGCGTGTTGATAGGAGTGAATGGAGACAAATGGTTTTTAATACTTGACGTGCTGTTGGGGTGTGAGCAAAAGTAACATTTATGAAGGGATTCAGGGAAACCGGCAGGCCGGACTTGAGTCCTGGAGATGGGAAGTACAGTGCCTGCACTCTGAAGGAGGGGTGTTAATGTTGCAGTTTAAAAACTGTAGTGTAAAGCACCCTTCTGGCAAGACAGTGATGGAGTGAATGATGGTGAAAGTTTTTCTTTTTCGGGCCACCCTGCCTTGGTGGGAATCGGCCGGTGTGATAATAATATAATAATAATATATATATATATATATATATATATATATATATATATATATATATATATATATAAATTTAATTAATACATCTGATTTAAAATTAACTCACGTTTAAAATTAATATAAACGTGCTTTAATATTAATCATTAATATTAAAGGCATTATTTAATATTAAATATGTAATTTAATTTATGAAGCACGTGATTTAAAAACTCACGTAATTTAATATTAACACAAGTGATATATTAATTCAACACTATTATTTAAATATAAACACGCAATTTATATTCAATACATCACTTTATTTGAACACTGATCGATAATTCATTCGCACCTGATTTAATATTAATAAAGTGAACTTAATATACGCATGTGATTTAATATAAGCAGTGATTTAATGACACAGCACTCAATTTAAATGCAAGTGATTTAATAAAAAATGAAGATATATTAAACACTGAAATATAATTAATATGTGTTATTTAAATTCACATATTTATATTAAATATTATATAACATAAACGTTCGCTATTTAGTAATGTAACGAAGTGATATAAATAGGAGCCGTGTTTTAAAATTAATCTTGTGATTATACTTAAGCACTAAATTCTAATCTTACAGACGCGGTGATTTAAAGAGGAAAATTAAAATATCCCTGAAATCTAATTTTAGTGTACTGTAGCGATAGGTTATGTAACAAGTTTTAACACAGGTAATTGAGGGATAATGTTGCCTTCCCTGACAAGAACCTCAGGGGTGAGGAAGGTCTTACATCCACCCCCGCAGTTCTTCACTCACACCCTCTCTTCCTTTTAACGTTTACTAACAAATCTTTTAGCACTTTTCAACGTTTCTTCGCGCATTATTGCAGTATTTCGTAATGTATATATTTTCTAAAACTTTTTATTATCGATAAAGTCCCTGTTTATTCGTCACTGAGCCAGAGAGGTCTGGTATTACCGCGTGTAAATGTACAAGGATGGTCACACAGAGACGAGCACTACACCCAACCTCACGACAGCCAATCTCAGACTGTGGCAGACGACGCGTCAACACTCCCGCCAAACACGCGGGCGGGGCACAGAGCCACCTAGGAACGGCTATCATCACTATACTCCTCCTAACCCTGTTATGTACTCACCTATAGGTGGTTGCCGGGGTTGAATGCCAGCTCCTGGCCCACCTCTCCTCTGTGCGCTAATAATAATATTAATAATAATAATAATAAAAATAATAATAATAATAATAAAAATAATAATGTCTCTGTTTCTACAGGCACCATGGCCTGGTGGCAACAGCTTTCGTTTCACACGGTGAGTGTCCGGGTTCGATTCCTGGCGAAGGGGTGGAAACATTGAACGAGTTTCCTCAACATGAGATTTACGGAAGTATTTACAGTGGAGACAGGGAGGCCACTGGGAGGACAGAACAAAGGGGGACACCAGCAAGGAATAAACCAACAAGTGTTGGATGACATACATACAACTGAGGAGGAGGTGAAGAAGCTGCTAAGGGACATTGATACCTCAAAGGCGATGGGACCGGACATCTCCCCGTGGGTCCTTAGAGAGGGAGCGGATATGTTGTGTGTGCCACTAACCACAATCTTCAATACATCCCTTGAAACTGGGCATCTACCTGAGGTATGGAAGACAGCAAATGGAGTTTCTATAGACCAGTGTCACTGACGTGTATAGTATGCAAAGTCATGGAGAAGATTATCAGGAGGAGAGTGGTAGAGCACCTGGAAATGAACAAGAGTATAAACGCCAACCAGCACGGATTTATGGAAGGCAAATCCTGTGTCACAAACCTTCTGGAGTTTTATGATAAAGTAACAGAAGTAAGACACGAGAGAGAGGGGTGGGTTGATTGCATCTTCTTGGGCTGCAAGAAGGCCTTTGACACAGTTCTTCACAAGAGACTAGTGCAGAAGCTAGAGGATCATGCTCGTATAACAGAAAGGGTACTGCAATGGATCAGAGAATACCTGACAGGAAGGCAACAGCGAGTCATGGTACGTGATGAGGTATCACAGTGGGCACCTGTGACGAGCGGGGTCCACAGGGGTCGGTCCTAGGACCAGTGCTATTTTTGGTATATGTGAATGACATGATGGAAGGGTTAGATTCAGAAGTATCCCTGTTCGCAGATGATGTGAAGTTAATGAGGAGAATTAAATCAGATGAGGATCAGGCAGGACTTCAAAGAGACCTGGACAGGCTGGACACCTGGGCCAGCAACTGGTTTCTCTAATTTAACTCCCAAATGCAAAGTCATGAAGATCGGGGAAGGGCAAAGAAGACCGCAGACAGAGTATAGGCTAGGTGGCCAAAGACTGCAAACCTCTCTCAAGGAGAAAGATCTTGGGGTGAGTTTAACACGGAGCATGTCTCCGGAAGCACACATCAACCAGATAACTGCTGCAGCATATGGGCGCCTAGCAAACCTGAGAACAGCGTTCCGATACCTTAGTAAGGAATTGCTCAAGACACTGTACACCGTGTACGTCAGGCCCATACTGGAGTATGCAGCAACTGTTTGGAACCCAAACTTGATCAAGTACCTCAATAAATTAGAGAAAGTGCAAAGGTTTGCGACAAGGTTAGTTCTAGAGCTAAGGGGAATGTCCTATGACGAAAGGTTAATTAGGGAAATCGGCCTGACGACACTGGAGGACAGGAGGGTAGGGGAGACATGATAACGACATACAAAATACTGCGTGAAATAGACAAGGTGGACAGAGACAGGATGTTCCAGAGAGGGGACACAGAAACAAGGGGTCACAATTAGAAGTTGAAGACTCAGATGAGTCAAAGGGATGTTAGGAAGTATTTCTTCAGTCATAGAGTAGTCAGGAAGTGGAACATCCTAGCAAGTGAGGTAGTGGAGGCAGGAACCATACATAGCTTTAAGATGAGGTATGATAAAGCTCATGGAGCAGGGAGAGAGAGGACCTAGTAGCACTCGGTGAAGAGGCGGGGCCAGGAGCTGAGTTTCGACCCCTGCAACCACAATTAGGTGAGTACCGGTTGTCTATGTTCACCCATCAGTAAAATGGGTACCTGGGTATTAATCGACTGGTGTGAGTCGCATCCTGGGACAAAACTGACCTAATTTGCCCGAAATGCTCAGTATAGCAAGGGGCTTTCTGTATAGTAGTATGTCATTGATGTCAGCTAGGACTGTATTCCTTGTACATGTACTTGTAATAAATAAAAATATTATTATATGTACAAGGTATACAGTCCTAGCTGACATCAGTGACATACTGCTATATAGAAAGCTGCTTTTTATGCAGAACATTTCGGGCAAATTAGGTCGGTTGTGTCCCAGGCTGCGACCCACACCAGCCGACTAACACCCAGGTACCCATTTTACTGGTGAGGAACATAGACAATCAGTGTAAAGAATTATTATTATAGTCATAAAGAAACACGCCCAATGCCTCTATCCTCGCCGGGAATCGAACGCGGACCCTCCCCGTGAAAAACGAAAGCTTTAGCCACCAGGCCACGGACACCATTACTGGATGTTCCCTTCGCCTGGCTATGTATTTCAATGGTGAGTGTTAGTAATAACGATTTCATTAAAAAGCTGAAGTGTGTAAACTTTTGAAGAATACATGTAACTAAAAATGCTGACTGGAAATGATATACATACTATAAGGATACTAAAAAATAGCAAATCAGTTTGTAAGGTATGGACAAACACTAAAAATAAGTTCCCGACCAACCGGGCTGTGCTTCGTACGTTGGTTTGTATGCGGCCAGCAGTAACAGCCTGGTTGATCATGCCCTAATGAACCGTAAGGCCTGGTTATGGACCAGGCTGCGGGGGCGTTGACCCCCCAAAATACCATCCAGGGATGGGTTTTAGACGCGCGCACGCACAGACATAGGAAGGAAGGAAACAAGTAATGATTGTACATGACGAGATGTCAGAGTGGGGTTCCCACAAGGGTCAATCATAGGGCCGGTGCTCTTTCTTGTATACGTGAATGACATAACAAGGGATCGAGTCAGAGGTGTCCCTTTTCTCAAATGACGTGAAACTGATGAAGAGAATACAAACGGACAGGGACCAGGTAAGGTTACAAATGGATCTGTACAGGCTACAAGCCTTATCCGATAAATGGCTCCTGCAATTTAACCCCAGCAACGCAAAGTAATGAATCTTGGAAGGGCAAAGAAGACTGGAGCAGATGAAGTAAAGTCTCCGGAGATAGAGACTGCAAACCACACTCAAAGAGAAGGATATTGGGGCGAGTATCATACCGAGCACATCCCCTGAGGCGCACATCAACTAAATAACTGTTGCAGAACATGAATTTTAGCAAACCTAAGAACAGTGTTTCGATATCTAAGTAGGGAGACATTCACTACACTGTACGCCGTGTAGGTTAAGCCCATATTGGAGTATGCAGCACCAGTATGGAACCCACATCTGGTCAAACAAGTTAAGAAACTATAGAAAGTGCAAAGGATAGCAAAAGAACTAGTCCCGGAGCTAAGGGGTATGTACTTTGAGGAGAGGATGTCAGAAGGGCTAGGGGTATATGATAACGACATACAAAATACTGAGAGGAATTGACAAGGTGAACAGGGCTAGAATGTTTCAGATATGGGATACAGAGACAAGAGAGTACAACTGAAAGTTGAAAACTCAGATGAAACATAGAGATGCTAGGAAATATTTCTTCAGCCTTAGAGTTGTCAAGAAGTAGAACAATCTGGAGAGTGAAGTACTAGAGGCGGGATCCATACATAGCTTTAAGAAGAGGTATGATAAAGTTCTTGGAGCCAGGACAGTGGACCTACTAGCGATCAGAGAAGAGGCGGGGCCAAGAGCTGTGAATCGACCCCTGCAAGCACATATGGGTGAGCACACACACTAGGAGGGAATATGAATTTGGGAAGTGGCAAGTTAAGGGGCGGGGCCAAGAGCTAAGAGTCCACCTATGCATTGTGGCTAGCTGGTCCAGTGGCTAACGCGACGGTCTGGAGTTTTGAGACTCTCTGATCACGGGTTCTATCCCCACCAGTGGTATGGTTTGTTTTTTTTTTATGTCAGAGACATGTCAGTTTGACATGCCTAGCATGGATCAATAGGTAAGATAAGATTTCGTTCGGACTTTTAACCCCGGAGGGTTAGCCACCCAGGATAACCCAAGAAAGTCAGTGCGTCATCGAAGATTAACTTATTTCCATTGGGTCCTTAATCTTGTCCCCCAGCATGCGACCCACACCAGTCGACTAACACCCAGGTACCTATTTGCTGCTAGGTGAACAGGACAACAGGTGTAAGGAAACGTGTCGAATGTTTCCACCCTCCGGGAATCGAACCCGGGCCCTCCATGTGTGAAGCGGGAGCTTTAGCCACCAGGCCATACTGCACTGTTCACCGGGTATTTTATGGCTATAGGCTTAATATAATTTCAAATAATGACAGCTGAGAAAGAAAAACCTATTAAAACAAAAGTTTCAATGATGAAGTTTTACAAGACAATAAAAATGTCCAAAGTTAAGAACCACTAAAAATGGAGACGCTCCAAAAATTGCCGTCGTTTTCTGTTCGCGTTAAATGTCAATATTCCAGAGCGATGGTGACGTCAGTACCTATAATAAATTCTGAATTTTGCAAATTATTTGTATTTGCTAATTATGATATAATTATAAAAAAGTATAACCAGATGACTATTTTGGGGGGAAATGATTCTGGATTTTTTTAACTAAACTACATACATAGTCAAACTATATTCATATCAGATACAATGCAGTAAATGTTAAAGCCTACCATACACCTGTGCCGAGATTCAAACTTTTTTCTGGTTTGACATATATGCTGTAGTGCTTATCTTGGCGTCAACAGAGGTACGAATTATGAAAAGACTTGAATAATGAAACACGATACAGAACGATACAAAAACTCACGTTTTTTTTTTTTTTTTAAGATTTGAAGAAGTTCCTGCCTGAACATTATTTTAGGTGGCCCGCAGTTACAAAATCATCCTGCGTGATACGTGTGTTAGGAA